CCAAGCCCTTCGCCACCGCTTCGCTCTGTCTCGTTTCCAGCCCACCTCAATTACGTTGGTCGCGAGGAGTTTGAAAGCGCTGTAGTTTATCGTGGATCGGAGCGAGCCAGATCGGTCACAACAAGTCAAGTGGAACTTGAAAGCCAGTCTGACATTTTCACTTGCACTTGTGGACAAAGAATTGCACGTGGTGAGATCACTATGCACATGTCAGAGGAATGTCCCAGGAGACTGACTAAATGCCAGTACTGTCGTGCGCAAGTCAAGTTTGAGGATATGCAGGTCTGTAGCGTCTGTACCGCTCTGGCGATCATGACACCAAATTATTAACGTATACACAAACGTAGGGTCTTTGTAGGAAGAGACAGGGTGGCCGAGCAGTTGGGGCGTTGGAATTGTAATTCGGATGCCCCGAGATCAATCCCCGCCCAAACCGCTTGCTGGATTTGTTCTCGGTAGTCTTGAGTTCAACTCCTCGGTCACCTTGTAAACAGGGTTTGCCTCCGGCCTGCTGGGATTCTTAAACTTGTGGGCCACAATGAAAACTACTGGTTTAACAGTAATTGTGTTGCCCCTATAAAGTCATTTTTTGTGCCCATGGATAGGAGTGATGGCTGAGAAGGCATTGTGCGGAGAGGATCAAAATACTGTGAGCTCCAATAAGTGTAAGAGAGAGGGACAATGGACCCCGCCTTTTCTCCTCAAGTAGCCTCCTTTTTTCGCTAGCAATCCTCTGCACTAACCCCTTAAAACACAACTGGTAGCAAGTGTGTACCGTCCCGTTTTACTGATTAGCTGGACAAACTTGCGCTACTTTGATTTTATTAGAAACTGTGTTTCGCTCCTAATTGGTTCGGTAATGATCTAACTAGCCCAGGAGGCTACCATGATTTGATACTGGATGTTTACTGGTCTTAAAAGTGAAATATTCGAGAAGTATTGTATTTGAAAACAACAGAACTCTTAATCTCTGATTTTAAGATCGTGATGTGAGCTTCTCTCTCTCTCTCTTTTTTCTAGAGCCATCTTCAATTGTGTCCTCGTTTTCCTTTGAGCTGTCCCAACAGCTGTGGTGTTTCACAGATTCCACGCGAAGAAGTGAGCAATGTTCTGGACGATATTATGTTACTTGTTTGCCTCTTGTACATTTCGCACATCGCATTCCACTCACTAATATTTTTCTCTGTTCCTTTTTCAGGTGAATCGTCATCTCTCTAACGACTGTCGCACGAATCACATTCATTGTCCATTTAAACATGTCGGCTGTGAACATGAAGTGAGTTCTTTGTACAGTTATGAAAAAAGTGCACAACAGTTAGAGTATATTAGGTTTAGCAACTGCTTTTCAATACCTTTCATACCTGGGCTACGGTTTAGGGCTTTACAACTGCCTGACTTCCAAATTTAATGGACCAATGAGATTTTGGAGCAAAAACGTGCAAAATGTTTTAGGCGCAGGAAAATGTGCAAACGGTGTCAGGCGCGGGAATGCAACCACAAGACGAATAGTCTCCCTCCTAGACAAATCAATGACAAAATACAGCAACAGCATGCAAGAACATGCGCATGCGCAAAGACGTGTCGACACCAAGTAAAACCAAGTTGCATATTCGGAGGTGGTCTGAAATTCTAATTCTGGGATAGGGGTCTATTAAATTCGTTTCCTTTCGCTAAGGTTAAATAAAATACTAAAACCAAAGCCCAAGAATTCGACAACGTTCTGTTATAATTACAAAAATTTTAGTAAACAGAGTTGTGAGAGAAATTTGTTTCTATTTCTTTGTAGTGTCCTCAGCGCACTCTTGCGCAACACCTCGAAGACGACATGAAAAAGCACCTTGAACTCGTGTCACAGCTCGCTATTGATCAGCAAAAAGAGATCAACGAGCTCCGTGAAATTGTGAAACATTGCAAACCTTTTGCCGACAGCAAGCTCTACTGGAAAATAGACAATTTCTGGGAAAAATTCGCAGAGGCAAAGCGCAAGGCCGGAGTAGAGCTTCACAGTCCGCCCTTCTACACAAGTCCGTACGGTTACAAATTCAAGGTTGTCATGTTTCCATACGGGAACGGAAGCGGTGAAGGTTCTCATCTATCGTTGTACATCCGTCTTCTCCCAGGCGAGTACGATACACTTTTAAAATGGCCTTTTGAGGGTGAGATTACTCTCTCGCTCTTGGACCAAAGCAGAGACCCCAGTAGGGGCCAACGGAACATCAGCCAATCATTTAGTCCGGATCCAAATTGGAAAAGCTTCCAGAGGCCCAATAAAAATGGCGCCACCCTCGGATTTGGTTACCCGCAATTCGTTTCGCACCGCGGGCTAGAATCAACGAACTATGTGAAAGACAACTGTTTGTTTATAAAAGCGACAATCGACTGCAAATATTCAGCCGATTTATAACAAAAGGCTTGAACTGCCGACGCAAAATTCTTGCGGAAGCGCATTAGTCAGTCAGAAGGACGGATACCGGACCGTGAGATAAAATGTATATCAACTTTTTACACTGTTCCTATCTTCTAACTTGGAATTCATTTCCACAATTTAGTTTCATGGCTCATAAACCGGAACTTAACTGATAACACCGCGGGCGCGATCAATGTCCGCCCGGCTTGGGAGAAAAATGAAAATTTGGTATATTGAAAAGAAAGACCCTTGGGTTATAATGTACAGCTTAAGTGATAGTGATGCTTCTTTGCAATTGCTGCAGGCGTAAAAATGCTGTGAAGACAATTTCTTGTCTCCGTGTTGGCGCTAAGAAGGGCGAAATTGGAGACAATTCATTGAAAAAACCTTCGACAATTCTCAAGGTTTACAACTTTAGAAAATTGCTGTGGTCTGTACACTTCTAAAGAAAATATTAACGTGATTATCAATAACCACTGATTGGGACATAAACAAATTTTTGACTTTTCAAAATGGACTTAGTTATTTTTATTCGACACTTAGGAGTATTTCACTCCAGAAAAATAACACGCTTTTATATACCATTGATACTTGAAAAGAATAATTTGATCAGAAATATTTAATATCCGACCGTAATTTTCCTAACGCATAATGCTTTGTTGGCTTTTTCGCGATGTCCAAATTGATTTACAATTATGAATAAAAGTTATTTCAGGACTTTGAATGTCTACTTTGTTGAAGTTTGATTGGGTGGCACTTAGAATGGGGATTTTCTTTTAGAGGCTGCGTGGCCAAGCGGTAAGAGCGCTAAACTTGTAATCCGGAGTCCCCGAGTTCAAGTCCCTCCCTGACCGTTGGTTTGATTTGTACTCGGTAGTCCAGAGTTCAAATCCTCGGCCACGCTTGTAAATAGCCAGCTGGTTTGCCTCTGGTTAGCCCGCGTAGCAAGCGTTCCCGTGCGAGTTCGTCGAGAAAATTGGGACGAACTCGCGCGGAAACGCTTGCTACGCAGGCTAGCCTCTGGCCAGTTGGGATTCTTAACCCTGTTAAGTTCAATTTGAATTATTTGTTTCAGGCATTTGCTCGCCCCCACTAGCATTAGTGTTCTAAATACTGCCGAGGGCTCATAACGGAATCGTCGTTATTCGTAGTAGAATCTTTTGTATTAGTTGAGAATCATGCCCTCATTTCAAAAGAAAAATAACAGAGGAGTATTAATTAACTTAACATTTGATTCTTGTTTTGCATATATTATAGTTATTTAACTTGGTTTACTGGTCGTTGCAAAATCTCAAAGATGCTGGACAAACTCTGCCACTTATCTTCGGCCGCCAGGCTGGTTAGTTGCAAGTCGTTCTCTGATATCGAAGATGGAGTCCAACTTTGGCTAATCCGATAGCTTTAGTAAATGATTCTACGATGGAAGCTTTAGTTTACATCAACCTTTGAGCTTAGATATAGATTTTAAGTTCTTTTTATAAACTAACAGAGTCAAATAAATACAACCAGGAGCCCAAGGGCTCCGATACAAACACTTCCGAATCGGTAATTATCATAATATTATATCCCATACAGAGCATTATCAAGGCAGGAAGTATTTGCGCAAATGAATACAATGCCTTTTTTAAATAACAGGCTTCGTAATACTGCTCAGAGACTTCTGTAAATGAATTAACTTTTAATTGTCTTTGATTCAGAAAGAGCGCGCAGTCAGAAGATTTTATGAGGTTTCTTAGCTTCTCAACTCTACAGGCCAAAAGTTTGTAGACCTGAAATTCAAACTGTCTGGAACTGATTAACGAAACTGCTCGAAAAGAGCCCCATATGAGGATGTGTACCTAACATCCTTTACCTTTCTTCATGGGAAATGAAAGAGGCAGAACGCTATAGGATTCTTCAATCCCGTAATCCCGACCACAAGTTTCGTACAATCCCGTAATCCCGAGGGTTATTTTTGGCATTAGTCCAACCTCGGGCTCATACTTTTGATCCAGAGCTTCAATTAAGGGAAATCCCGGATCCCGAAAAACCTATTGGGGAACAATAGGCTCTACCCCTCCCTTTATCACCTGTGTTTAACTTAACACTTACTTTTATATTTTTCGTGTGTTTAACGCTTTGTGTTCCATGTTCTAACTACAAAAATTTAGAAGTAACATTTGAGGATTTCATCCTAAACCTTTAAAATTTAAACGCAATAGACCAACATAACAAACACCACTACCTGAAAGTATTTGGTGCTTCACAGATACAAGAACGAATGTGATAACAATAAATACTGCATAAGAATAAAATCAAATATAAACAGCAGATATGCTTTGAAAGGAGTTCATGGTCCACATTAATATGTGCAAATAGAAATCATTAATCAGGGAAAAAATTCTAGGTCTTACTGGAGTTCAGTGTAGCTGCCGCAGCGAAGCTCTACCAGATGACATGAAACGTCGTTAGGGTAGGTAACTCAAGAAGTGAGCAACATTGGAAGACAGGATATTACTTCATGTAAGGCAATACGTGCTGAGTCATGTGTTGAGTCCAGTCACTCAACACGTGACTCCAAATGTGTGACGTATTTGAGAGCAGGAAGAATTTTTTATAATTTGCTTCGTTCCTGGATGACTGGAATTTGACGACATTCCTTCCACCAAGAAACTCGCTCTAGGTTCCCGGGGTTCTGCATAATCGCTTCGTATAAGTTCTCGTGAGCCTGGGAAAAGCAACAAGTGATACATTTAGCCTAAAGACAACGATCGAAAAAACACCAGCTCCGCCTATTCGACGAGGTGCAAAATGTAGTTTTTGCGACGTTATTTTTGTTGGATTGCGTTCTCTCTCTCTTTTTAAATTTTCTGTTTGATAGCACTTTTGCCGGTTGGTGCCGCAAAAACACCTCTGTGTTGTGCACAATACTAATACAACAAAGTTATACTTTCAAGTAGTTATACAAAAGTTGTAACAGTGTTACAACTGTCGGATCCAATCAGGAACGGTTTTAGTTGATATATGACATTGCATAGAGTACGCTTAACGGCCTCCAAAAGCCGCGGCAAAGACAAAAAGCAGACGTACTCAGTGAGCGACAATGAATGTCAAGTGTAAATTATGACTAAACATTCAAGCTCTCGATCGTAATGAGCGACAACTGGGGTATTAAGGTCTCCAGGAAATGTTCAATCCTTATCACATCACTAACCGTGCGTTCAAAGTTAAAATTACAAAAAAAATTACCCGACTCGCACAGTAAGTCGGATACACTCGGTCTACAGCTGTGAAGTTAGCTTACCTTTCCATTACTATGACCGATCGGTGAATTAAGGACAAAATCAGGAGGAGCTAAAGCGTCTACTAGAGCTACTGCCTCGCCTTTCAACTAACAAAAGAAAAACAACCGAACATGATAACATTAAGATCCTGTGATCTGCCCCTGCTTCTCTTGCAAATGGGTAAAACACATCACATGGTAACCAAGGGTACGGCTACATTTACACGTTGGTTTATCAGTCGCCAGATTTTGATAAATCGATAGTCTAAGAAGGCGAATAATATATAAGTCTTCCTTATAACAATAACTGTAATTAGTATTTATTTAATAACTGTATTTTTTGCCACAAAATCATAAAAAATTATCCCTGAAACACTGTCAATTGCAACGCAAACAAACTCTAAGTGACGTCTTTTATTTACAAAAAGTTTCTTTTTGATTTCTACCCCACTGATTTGGTAAATACTACAACAACTATCCCCCTCAGGGTCGGTTCATAGCGCTAGAAATATACCTTGACGCTTCGCGTCTCGGTATATTCCCCACTATCACCTCCCCTTCTGAAGCCAAAAGATAATTGTATACTATAACTTTAATGATGTTGTAAAATTAAAAGAAAGTAGTAAAAAACTATTTTGTGGAGCCCAAAAGTCCTCACTGCAGGGGTTTTCTGGTGGGAACGCGATCGGGTCGTTCACTCCTTCCTCCACTTCGTTCTTTCAGCCTTGTCCCCACTCTCCTGATCGCAGTTTAAGTCTCCCTAATCATTCTTTGTTTTAAAATCAACGATGACCACCATGCAGTGAAAAAGACTGTTCAAAGCTTGCTCTCCCAAAAATGCGCCTGGGAAACTAGCCCGGAAAAAATCTAGTGAAACTGACTAGACTGACTAGACTGACTGACTGACTTGGGGGAGCAGGGATGGCGCAGTGGTGAGAGCACTCGCCTTCCACCAATGTGGCCCGGGTTCGATTCCCGGACTCGACTTCATATGTGGGTTGAGTTTGTTGTTGGTTCTCTTCTCTGCTCCGAGAGGTTTTTCTCCGGGTACTCCGGTTTTCCCCTCTCCGCAAAAACCAACATTTCTAAATTCCAATTCGATCCGGAATGCTCGAGCGTTAATACATGAGCCCCGGGCTCGGGAGATTGGGCAACCACTCCTCACGCTATCGAGCTTAAATAAAATAAATTTAATTTAATTTAATTTTAATTTAAGTAACGTTAGACGTACTCCTCTTCAGAAATCTTGGTGTGAGTAGCCCAGCCCTATTTGGCGACGCTGGGATTGCTGGCATCGCAGTATTGCTAATTCAACTAATTATATTTCGTAGGTGGTTGCAGCCTGACGTTGTATTAGGTTAGGAATGATCGAGATACCTACCTCAAAACAGAGTGACAGGATACTTCCTCTTACAATCCTGGCATCATTTACTGACCTACAGAATCCACCTTCAAACAAACAGCTTTGCAATTAAACCCAAAATGCTTAGTAAACCGGAGTGGCAAGTTTTAATAGCGTGGGTTGCACTTGGTGACCCTATTTAAGCCACCATAACATATGAAAAAACTCCATTAGCCTCGGTTATAACTCAGTTTGTGTTGTAAGTTACAGTGTGACTTAGGATCCGAATAGAAAAAGACTTGAGTTTAGTGTACGACCTTCAAACATTTTTTTTAGTAAGGGGCATATCCTTTTTATTCCCAAAGTCCATAAAAGTCACAACTGACCAAAATTGCCAAATTTCATATTGTAAAATGCTAAAAAAATACTACCAAAGAGGTTTTAGTGAGTTTACGCAACAGGACGGCAGAACGAAGAGGACGGCAAAACGCTTATGGGTGACAAACGTGACAGGCCTATTACGTATGTGTTTTGTGGTGATCTTCACTTAAGTTAATGTTTTCTGGTCTTTTGCAAAAAGACCTGTTTATAAAGGAGGGTGAATTACGTTCGGCGGAAATGTTTTTCAAACAAAATTATTATCACGTTTGTCACACAAGGTTTGCCGTCTTCTTTCCTCGTCCATCCTGTCGCGTAAGCTCACTTTTATTTGAATGATCAAACCGCAGGATTTTGTCCACAGCCTCAAAAGTTGCAGCTACCTTACAAGGCTGCCCTCATTCACTCTGAGAGTCGAAGGGACATACTGAACAGAACCTAAATTCTCCCGACAATAGGACAGTTTCATCAAACAATTAGGTCAAATTTATTACTGCTCATGAGAAATACTAATACCATCAGGGTGAGATTAATCCTACGATGCACCAGAGTCCCATTTAGGGGGAAGTGAGAGAGAGGGGGCATTGCCTCTATACCCGGGTTCTTTCCGAGGAAGGCCTGATACGTAAAACAACAAGACTGGGTTTTATTCAGTCAGCAGTCACCACTTGTAATAAACTGACCTTGATATAGAGTGGTGAGATGTGTCTCCAACGACCACAAACCATACAAGGAACATAGCTTAAGAAGAACTGGTTTCAGTGCTTGGGGAGTCTCATCTTCATTGAAAATTGCTTCTTTGAATCTCTGTAAAACTGCGCACTGAAAATATACAATTGAGAAAGCTATGGAATGGATACTTAGTCTGCTACAAGATCGATATGCGTTTTTGTGAAAAGTAGAAACTTGGCCAAAATTCTACCACAACAGAGGGGTTTTTGCATGCCCTTGAAATGATTCTACAACAGTTACCTTTTCCTACTCAAAGTGTGGTTGAAAAATGTAGGTGCAGATTCTGGCTGTGCGGGTCTTTTTAATGGGAATAATATAATATCACCATTAAAAAGAGCCCCATGGGTCGAGCACAACAAGCTTAGGTCACAATCCAAAAACCTTCGAGTCAATTGATAAGCTTGTCAACGATAACAGAAGAATCTGATTTTGTGGTGAAAAGACAGAGGGAGAGGGGTAGGACACTCAGTTAAAGGATTACCTTACCTCAATGTAAGCAAGTGCTAATGATCTACAGTAAAACACCTGACTGTCATTCCTGGCAGTAAAAGGGTCCTGAAAAAGCACCGCAAATATTGATTATCAACACGTTGACAAATACTATGAATAGGAACCTTATAGCTGAGCTGGTTCAGCTCAGGTTCAGTTAGTTTCAGCTTCAATTTTGCATTGCAGGACAGTGTGACAAAGATTTGTGCCACTTCCTAAATAAATCAGACGCTAGTCCAAACCAACTTTATATCAACCACAACTCCATGTGGAGGTGGGACCCATCCCTCGGAATACCTAGTAATGTACAAACCCTACAACTGTTTCCTGTGGAAAATGTTAGATTTATACCTTGTGCGATCTAATGCAATTCAGCAGGTTTACAAAAAACTGAGTGCAACAGGTCAGGTCATTAAATAAAATAATATAGCCTGCATGGCAGGAGCCGGCTAGATTTTTGGTTACTTTTACGGAGCGTGGGAGGGCTTGTGTTTGCGCATCCTCAGTTTCTCCCTTCACCCTAAAAAAAACCTGTGCCTCCCATGCAGGCTGTAGTTGACACATTCCACATAACTTTCTTTTTCAGACCATGCATGATTTACTTTGAGATTTCATCTTGTCAACACTATGCAGAGCAGAAGGGTTAAAAAATCACCAGTACCTTTCCATTTGTCAACTGTTGTCTGAGCCTAACAGCACTCTCTTTTAACAGATAGCACACAAGCCACTGGAAAGCTCCCACTAAAACTAACGAGTAACAACAACACAGTCTAGTAAATTACTACATAATAATAAATTCAGTAGGAATGGTTATCTAAACATGAAATCATAAGTTTTAGGTGCTAAATGATGTTTGGCTCGGTATCTAGTAATCACAGACCATGCGAATAGTTTTTCCTAATTCGGTTGTTTGAGATGCTTGCTGAGAAATGTTTACCCAAGTCTCTGTTGATGAGGTTTAGAAGAGACTACCACTGCTAGGATGCTAATATAGCACAGGCACCCAATACATAAAGGAATATTAAACTTGTCATAGATACTCTTCAAGGTATAAAGTGGCTCAAAGTTAGTCATTAAAAAGCCCTTACTCTGTTATGAAATACTTTCTTTTCAGTTAGATCTGACACTGGTCAAACACATGTCCTATTTTTTTTTCTACACAGAGATGAAAGCATCAATATACTTACAGTCAGGGTCTCTGCATTCTTGCTCTGTCTTTGCATGGAATTTTTCTGACATGATTTGTTCGATGTTATCAAGAAAGTCCGCTGAATGAAGTGGACAGGATATTGTTACTCCTGTTGGAAAATAATAGCAGAAACATTCTTGCCAGCTCTTGCATTACTACTACTAGACAGCTTTCGTGGAAAATTGTCCCTTCTTTAACTATAGGTTCCTTTTAATAAACTTAAAACCATAAATCCCTCTTGTACAACACACTTAATATTATCGCCTAGGCAACTACCTGGCCACTGTAGTGGTTACACCATTTGAATATGTCAACAATGTCAAGAGTTAGAAGTAACTTGCCAGTGATCCTTTTGTCAGCTTTACAACGTTTGTACTTTTTTATGGACCAAGAATTTAAGGACTTTTCAAGGACTTTTCAAGGACTTTCAAAGACGCAATTCTTAGTTTAAAGACCTCAGTGCACATTGATTCAAAATTAAGGTATCCAACATTCATTTTTATTTAGTTTTACTATTTTTATGTTGCTACTATTCTGCCAGTACCATTTACTGTTAAATTACTAGCCACTTAAGAGTACCATCTGAGCTAACTCTGCTGCAGTGAAGAGAGGAGAAAAGGACAAAAAAGAGTTCAAAATTAAGAAACTTAACACTGACACAGAGTGGAAAGAATACCTTTTTCTTTGGCTTCTAAAAGAGACAGCAAATAGTTGCTGGTTTGCCCCAAAAGCATGTTGTTGTCTCCTTCATACGTGCAGTTTGGATCATTATCATCTCTTAATTCACCAAACCTATTAACTGTGGAAAAAAAATAAGAACTTTTATACCATATTAAACTCATCACAAATAGATGAGCTTGGGAACTGGTGCCTAAAAGGTTAGCGGGGTGCCAGATGCCAAGCTGCAGGGGAGGTATCCATGGCAACCCTGGAACGCGGGAACCACCCAAAAAAGCGCCCGCTAACCGGCACCGTCACACTGAAACAATCAGTGGAAATAACTTACCTGAAAATACTTACCCTGATGACCCAATGCAAAAGAGGGAGGGAGGAGAGGGTGCAAGAATCCGCAATGATTCGCACTAGCAAAGCGTTTGATCCGCAAAGATCAGCTGATAACACTGCACGTGTAAAGCAATGAACCTTGAAACCCTGTGAAACCTCTAGAGGCCACCCCAAAGGTCACGTGCCGCAGATGGGGGAGACCGCTGGCTGCATTTGCTCACATTTTAACTTTGCCTAAATGATATTTAGCCACATAAAAAATCTTCCCCATGCCTCTAGTATTGTACAAAGTTAATAATTTATTAAGAAAAACAATCAGCAATCATTCAAGTGTTCTATGGAATGTCAAAGTACAAAATGAACACAAAGTTTTGTTTTGTGGCAATAATACAAATTCAATAAAACAACAATAACAACAAAAAACATATGATCACAGTCAACATCATGTAAAATAACTTGTTAATACGTATAATTTATCAGTTTATTTTACTGTATTTAATCATTTCTGATAATTACTATATTTTAAAAACATTATCTATGTGCTCACCAGAGGGTAATAGGCAAAGCTAGTCACAGTCTTAAGAAATGGTAAAATGTAGTACTAAAACAACAATAGTGTCTTACTTGCAAGGTAACCATGGCCTCCGCAAGCCTCTCGACATTCTTGAATAGCACTCTGTGCCATCCAACCTGCCAGAGGTTTGCTTGCTGATGACAGGGCATGGATTTCTCTTCCCAAAGCAGCCTGATGCACAGAAATAATAATAATAATATTTACAGTGTAATGATTTTTTAGCCACTTATTGTTTACAGTTACACCAGGTCAAGCATGAAAAATAAATCTGTTAGTCATCAAATTCAAATCTGCATTCCTGCATGCATAAAGGGCTTCAATTTCTCGGTAACAGTGAACAAAATAATTCTTCTCCCCAGTAATAGTTAAATTTATGGAAGAAAACCTTGATATTCATTATAGCAAACATATTTTGCCAGTCCCTTAAATTGGCTCTTTGTTATAATAAGGTTCTACTATAGATGAAAAATCTTTGAATGGATAAAAATTGCTTTGCAGATATTTCTTTCAAATTCAAGAAAACTGAGCTGTCAGAAATTTCTGATCTACCTCATATGTGAATTCACTGCTCAATATGTCATTTATGAATGCAAGAAAGCAGAAATGAATCGGAAATCTACAACTAAGAGCGGACTCTCCTTTCAAATAATAAATTTATTAATGGCATCTTGGAAGGTACCCTTCCTTGACCTGGCTCAACTGTATAGTTATTATTTATGGTTAATAAAATGGCAATAATAATAATAATAAATTATTCATAAATTTTATCATCTCTTACCTGAGCCTCACCTTTTTCTCCCATCATTGTGCCAATTTCCATTTCCACAAAGTTCAAAAAGAAAGTCCTTGCAAAGTAGGCCAGAGCATAAGTTGCTGCTAGCTTAGGAATAAGGCGCCATTGCTGATAAGAGAAGAAATAAATATCTGATACTATGAAAAGTGAAGAGGAGAAATTTTTTTTTTCAGTTCAAGAAATTTAAGTTGGAGTCATATAAATATGCTCATTCGCTGCTCAATAGTAAGTTACCAGTTGCGTCTCGTTTCCTGTGTGATGAGAATCGTGTCACGTGCTACACAATTCTCGTAGCGCGCAACAAGAATTGCGTAGCACAAGAATCATTGAAGCACGAATTTTTGGCATAAATTATTGACGAAATGTCCAGTGAGAAACCAACCTGCATTTGGTATTCCAAGACTGGAATCTCATCTTTTCCAGGTGGACCAAACTGCCTTCGTACAGCAGAGTACCTGATAATAAACAAAAAAAAATCATACATTTATATGTTAATTGTCTGTATTGTAAGGCTACATTTATGGAAGAGGAAATTTTTCTGGCTTCATAACGTTGATGTTATTTGGTTTTTCAAGGATTTACACACATCAGTACTATTATTAAAACAACATCATTCAGGTAAAAAGTATTTTCTTCAGATTCCAGATTCAAAATCCTCACACACGCAACCAATATTACAACCAGGACATTTTTATTTCAGATTTTGTGCAGCACAAAGAATCTGGTACCAAATTTTACTGAATTTGTGGCAAATCTGGCAACATCTTCTACAGTGTAAACTGTTTTTCTTGGTTAAGTTATGCTGCATCCAAACAAGTCCTGTAATTTACAAATACACACCAAGATAGAAAGAGACAAAAATAGTTAGACAGACCATGACTGAAAAAGAACGGTTTACTTAGTTGACATTTTGGCTTTCTGAAACTCAGTAGTTTAAACTGTTTCCCTGACAAGTATTTGAAAATAGCCATAAAGTTGTCATCTTTGCTCTGTACAAAGAAAACTTTGCTTTACTTGAATATACTAGGCTATTTATGTTATGCCTCTGTGTGTACACTGACCTCAACAGTCAGAGTTCAAGTCATGGCCACATTTTTACTGATCAAACAAATTGATTACCTGGTTGCATTCATTGCTATATATATATATATTGCTATACCTTATTGCAATGGGTATACAGGATCGCAGATTGACAACACTCATACTGGTAATCCCTACTCGTCCACCAGAAAGTGCGCCTAGAGAGGCTCCAAATCTCTTGTTTGGGTCTTTGTAAGGTGTCACATACTTTCCCGCTGGTGTGACATCAGCTGTCCTATTCAGTAAGTTCTCCCGTGGAATTCGAACATGGTTGAATGACACAAAACTGACAAAAGAAAAGAAATATATGGTATTATGCTCCTAAATCACCCCTAAACTTATCGGTCTCTATGATTCCCCTCAGACGCACTGCTAATAACCACATTGTTATGGTAACAGTGCAACTTGGCTCTCCCCATAATAACACTAATGCAAAAAAAAGTGGTAGTGTGATCACTCCAGTAAAAACAAGAACAGGGTCTGAAATATATTTGAAACTCTCCCTTTCTTTCCAAATGTAATATACTGGCTGGGTGTCTAGTGTATACTGGCTGGGTGTCTAGTGTATACTGGCTGGGTGTCTAGTGTATACTGGCTGGGTGTCTAGTGTATACTGGCTGGGTGTCTAGTGATTATGCTCATAATGCCTAACTAAGGAGGTTGCTTCTTGTAAGAAGAAACTCGGGTTAAATTTAATTCTGGGTTAAGCAATAATCGACCTTTGAACAACTGGGCCCTGATTTTTATTTCTGTAACCTCCAAGGGAAAAGGAAACTGGTTCATACATTGTATTATTGAGAGGTTTACGAAGTAAGGCTAAAATGATGTACTATGTTTTAGTGCTATGGGAAGTAAGTTTTGATTTAAATTAGAAGGGATTGGAAAAATCAGAACTGTACTGTGTCACATGCTAACCCATTATCAAGGCCATTCTGACCAAGTTTTTCTCCTAGATCTCCCACAGTCACACCAGGCATTGGTGAGAGATCGGCAGTGCTACGGACTTGAACTACAAAAGAGTGAAGACCATGACATTTTCGATCATGGGTGTAAAGCTGAGCATAGACAACAGCATGGGTGGCTGTGTTTCCCAGATTTCCAACCCAACATTTTGTTGCTTCGAAGTTGGGTGTATGTAAAACAAACTCCTGTAGACAAACAAAAACAAACAAATAAAAATTAAGGGATAACGCCCCCTCTGACCATTCTACATATTTCCAGGAGTGAGGTAATTGGCTCTTTGATTTCTTAGTTTCTGAGCTTTTTGAAATTATCAAGAAAATACCTTGGACCTGTTAACCTATTGCTCCTCCTCTCCCCAAAATATGTGAAGGAATAAGAATGGCTATTTTTGTTTTGTGTGTCACATTTTGCATATGGCTGAGTTTTCATACTTACTTGTGTTGAAGGGTCATAGGTTGCTGTGGTTTGAACTCCTTTTGTGTTACTTCCATGGGTTAATTCAGTCAGTGCAAAACAACCAAAGATCTGCAGGTCAATTTATTAAAAAACGTATTTGTCAAAAATTATGTGACATATTAAATAAATTAATAAATTATTACTATGAATGTACCTGTTGAGTAAAAAACTGCCTCTAAATACTATCAACATTGTAGGTCATGGTCAAAATGGTTTCAACCTAGGTTGTTTCTAGCCCTAATTATTCATGGCTTCAATGATTTTAACATTGAAGATATGAGCTATTTGTAGCTACTCTAAAATTCAAGTTAAAATAAAGGTTATGTATGTATTGAACCATACGTATTCAAATTCAAAGTAGACAGACTGCAAATTATAGTAGTTGCTAAAAAATATATCTACGTGTCCCAACTGTTCATCAGTAGGATGTCCAAACTGCGTGCATTATTGGTTTCAGCTCCATTAAATGAATAGTAATGATCGTGAATAGTAATTATAAGGGTTGGGAAACAAAGGAAAGTGAGAGTCAAACTAGGCTGCAACAATTTTCCCTAAATTTCATTTTGATTTTCAACATCAATTATACTGAAAAGTTTAAATTATGAATACCTTTTGCCTTGCAGCTTTCTCCCCAAGGTCTTGGATGTGTTCATGTGTACTTGATGTCTTTATCAGACGACCAAACATCTACAAGGAGATTTAAGGAAATGATATAACTTATTGTAGAAAAAGAGGCCTAGAAGAAATGTTTCCACCGAGACAAAAATGAAAATAGAGCTATCTGAAAGCTGAAAGTTAGATTTCAGGCCATTTGCCTGACTATTTGGAATGAAAGTTAAAAGAAAAATTTGCAGTCAGAAATTGTCATTCATTTTTCCATTTTAGCCATTCTCAAGTAACAGAAAATTCTAGGTAATATTTTTATTTTGCTTCTCCAAACAGATATTTTACAGAAAACAGTCATTGGGTGTCCCTGAAAGATGATTTCTTAACATGCTTACAGGCTGATTGACAGATTAGCCTGCATTGGAGGCATTTTCTTAGGGTGTACAAATGTTTCTGCTTGCACGACCACCACATTGACCCATTGGTGAGTTGGAGAAATTCAAAAAGGGCTAGGGGGTGGGGCCTTCTTTTTTCACCCTAACACCTGCCCCAAGGGTTGCAATTTCTCCCCGGGGGTACTCCCTTGTATAAGCTATATAGGTATGTGCCACCCCATCGGATAGGGTTTTTGTGCCGTTTTTGTCTGAAAACGGGTATACACTTCGCCCATTTTGGTCAGGAATCGGGTATGGTTTTTGGGGAATTACGGGAGACGAGTATGAATGTATTTATCGTTCCAATACCAAATGAGTAAGAAAGAAAGAGAAATACGCAAATACAAAATAGAATTCATAAATTTGTTTGTTTGCCCTCTCAGTAATGATAGCATAACTTCTGCCTAAAGGCCAGGTCTGAAAATGGGTATGGTGGGTATGGATATAAGAGGTCTGGTCTCAAAACGGGTGCAGAAAATGACATTTTTTGTCTGAAATTGGGTCAGGATTTGGAGAACCGGCGGTACACCCCCACCAAGAATTCCCAGGAGTACCCTCCCCCCCCCACCACCACCACCACCACCCCCAGGCTATTATTATTTTCTACTCTCCTCAATCCAATCAACGATGGTAACTACAGGCTTGACCAATTTCTCACTCACCGTTCTGTTCAGTAAATATTTGGCAGACAAACTCCAATCAAAAGACCCTATCGCATCGGTGAACGCCTGAACAAAGAGAGGATTAGCCATTACATCATCATCAGTGACAAAGTTGTACTCAGCCAGCTTGGTACATCTCTTCATAGTGAGTCTACGGCGTTCACCAAAGGACAGTTTGCTATCGTTTGCTCTATCAAAGAGTGGATCCTTTGCCAATGTGTTCCAGATATTATTTTTAAATTCAACGACATCCTCTCCACCCTCTACAAACACTTTCATCTCAAACCAGTCGAAAGACGCCTGCCTTCTGTAGCTGTCTAGAGGTCCCGAAGCAAAACCTTTTTTCATGTTTTCGATACAAATATCTACTTGTTCCTGAGGAAATTTGCTGTTCAGAGCTAATTCAGACATTCCCTCCACTAATATCTACGAAACAATACCCGGAGTTTAACTGCACAGACACCTCCGTTCTTGTGTGAGCAGTGAGCAACAAAAAACTCTCATGTCACAAGATGTTTATGACATGACCCGGCACGAATTCTGGGAAGGTCGCTAAAAAAAACGAAGAGGGAGGTAGAAAGGTGCTGTTCAAAAATTATCAGATATAAAAATATTTTACCTGGTGTTTTTAATATCAAGAAAGATAACAGATAAAAGTTCATTTCATATTTTATTAAGATCATGAAAAGAACGAACACACAAAAAATATTTATAAGAAACATCCAAGTGTTTCTCCTTTTTCATACATCCCTACTCTAACAGTAATTTTTGGCCATTTTTCACTGACTCTTGTACATGTCCCACACCCCCAAGGGTCACTCAAGGTCACGAAATTTTTTCGGAAGCATGAAAGGGACCTTCTAGGATCCATGTTTTTACTGAAAATAAAATTTATACCCTTTGTTAAGAATTTTTTTGAGCAAAGTAGTGCAGAATAGATACACGTACCGAATATCTATCTTGTTCTCTAGGAAAAGAAAGGTAACTTTCCCTCCCCACCCTAAAACTATCTTTGCCTTGTTCTTGTGAACGCAAAATGGTGGACGAGTTACGTTTTGATGGTCGTGTAGTTCTCGTAACAGGTGCTGGCGGAGGTCTAGGAAGAGAGTATGCCCTCGCTTTCGCTTCAAAAGGTGCCTCTGTCGTGGTTAATGATCTTGGCGGTGATGCTAAAGGAGGAGGAAAGAACAGCGCTGCAGCCGATAAAGTTGTTGAAGAAATCCGTTCTCGAGGAGGCAGGGCAGTGGCTAATTACAATTCGGTAGAGGACGGCGAGAAGGTTGTCCAAACGGCTTTAGATGCATTCGGTCGAATTGACATCCTCATCAACAATGCTGGAATTCTAAGAGATCGGTCGTTCGGACGCATAAGCGATCTTGATTGGGATCTCGTGCATCGGGTTCATCTTCGTGGGGCGTTCAAGGTGACTCGAGCCGCTTGGCCCCATATGAGAAAGCAGAAGTACGGCAAGATCATCATGACTTCTTCCACCTCTGGCGTCTTGGGAAATTTCGGTCAGGCAAATTACAGTGCAGCTAAACTCGGTCTCGTGGGTCTTAGTAACACTTTATCCATAGAGGGTTCCAAGTACAATATCCACTGCAATTCTATTGTCCCATTGGCATCCTCTAGGTTGACCCAAGGTATTATACCCCCAGATGTGATGGATGTCGTAAAACCTGAATATGTAGCACCTTATGTCGTGTACCTCTGCCATGAAAGCTGTCCAGAGACTGGAGGGGTCTTCCAGCTCGCGGGTGGTTGGGCTGTGGAGTTGAGGTGGCATCAGGCTGCCGGGGTGGTGTTGTTTGCGAAAGGTGGTCAGGTGCCGACCCCGGAAATGGTGAGAGACAACTGGGATAAGGTAACGGATTGGTCAGGTCCTGCAAAAGAGTTTAGTAACAGTGGCAACTTTATGGCAGAGCTTCTTGGGAAGCTGCAAGGAGCTAAAGAAGCATCAGTGTTAGCAGAAAGTAAGGGAACCTCAAGCATTGGAGAAAAGGTCCAGTTGGTGAAAGGAAAAGAGATACAGTTCACATATGGGTTCAAAGATGTAATCCTGTATGCACTGGGTGTAGGAGTGACGGTTCCAGAGGATTCCCATCTAAAGTTTCTCTATGAAGGCCATGAAGACTTTAGCACTTTGCCAACATTTGGTGTAATTGCAGCCCAGGTAATATATACAACT